ATCAGGAGGCGCAGGAGCCGGGGACGGGACCAGGCTGGCGGTTGCGGGCTCAGAGGTTCCGAGTCTCTCTCGCTCGGGATCGGCCCTGCGACCCCCACGTGGGCGAAGCGCGAATTCAGGAGCCTCCTCGAATTTACGATCACACATGTCGGACACAGAGAACGCAAGCAATCCATGGTGGAGATCCTCCAGATCCGCTCCGGAAGAGAAATCAGCTCCAACATCGTTGACTGCCACTAGGTTCTGAAGGGCGTCCACAATGCTGGACGCAATTGCCTTGGAGAGATCAGACGAGTATGTTTACTTGGCGGCAGTCCGAAAAGTGCCGTCAGCGGCTTTACCTAAGAGGGTCCTGTTGGCAGCCTTGCCGTGGGAGCATGTGCCCCCACGCGGAGTATTTTACAGAGGTGGGAGGGGAGGGAGGGCATACGGAGGCCGAGGAGGCGGGTAGGGACTCTGCAAGCGGTGTCAGCGGGAGGATGTTCGCATTGATCGAAGTCGATCGCACATGAGTGGGACGCCGACACCAGGGCAACCGAGAGGGCCATCAAAACGATGTGGGAGCTCCCGCTATCCAAGAGGGGGGCAGCTACCATATGCGCGGATTTGGGTGAGAGCGTGCAGGAGCTGGGACCCGACCGACACTTGGAGGCCTTGGCGGGCCGTGCACCAAGGAACCCCCCCAAATGTGGTCCTGGGTCCACGGAGGGCGGGGGGCCCCCGTCGTACCACCCAGGCGCACTCCACGCTTCGCAGGGCCCCCCCCCCCCGAAAGGAGTACCCTCCGAGCGCGCACATACCCGAACCATTCCTGTATGACCTGAGCGCGTGTGAGATCTCCGCGCTCTGGGTCGAAGGCCACGTCAACAGACAAACAGCATATGACGCAAGACGTGGACGGCCAAGCATATTCAAGATGAATCTGTATATCCCCAGATCTCATTCAGCAAGCAGCCCTAAGAACTCTGGCCTCTTGACCTGGAAAGGCAGGGCAGCAGCGGCAATCCCCGAGAACTCCTGAGGCCGACAGTGCCACCAACGATCATCAGGAGGAGGCGTGACCTGCGGAGGAGGGGCCCGAGCTAATTGCAGAAACTGCCGGGCTGCCTCGTGGGAACCTCGGAGACCTGAGAGATGCGTGATGGATGAGCGTCATCAGTGACGGGCCGAGGGACTCCTGCTTCAAGGAACCCTTTGAAAATGGCATTCTTGACGATTTCAGTGGCCACGATGCGCCCAGCATATTCAACCTGGGATCGAACAGCTAATTTGACAATGCTTTTCCAACCAAGAGCTGACCGTCTAACCCGGGTTTCCCAAGCATGCATTTTTTTAGCTGGGTCCAGCATGTGGCGATATGTGTTTGCAAATTTCTTGGCCCAGTGGAGGTCGGCGATCACCCCGTGTATTTAAGACGTCCTGGACTAGGAAACATGTGCTTGCAAAGGCCACGACATGGTCTGGCCCCGCGTGCTGGCGACGCCCGACGAGACGAAGACGGTGCGCAGCCAGGGCTGCATCAACACACGGCCGCTCCACCTGGGCAAGGATGCGGGGATGTGATGATTAGGGGCTGCGGTCTCGTCTCTTCTGGGCCTGCGCACCACTGCACGGTGCATCCAGACCAAGTCGTTTGACAATGAGGCTTGCTGCGACGAAGTCAGTTCCTGCCATGCGCCCGTGTTGAACAGTTTGCTCGAGTACAAGAGCGAGTCCACGAGAACGAGGCCGATGGCTCGATCTAAATCGGGGACCTTGAGCACGCGACGCATGGATGTGCGCGACGCTAATGCGAGAGCCACATGTTGAGAACGACCCGCCCTACGTCCTTGAATCTAAAGCAAAAGTGTGAGTAAATCAGGCGAAATGCCTGTCCCGCTCTACCGACACGTCTGGGGATGTGACATGGAAGAGTATGAATCAGGATAATTGATGGAGGAGGAAGCGGAGGCGAAGGAGGAGGAAGGGTCGGAGGGGGGAGTTGGCGGGCAGGAGGAGGAGGAGGAGGAGGCGGAGGGAGGAGGGGAAGGAGGAGGAGGGAGGAGGGAGGAGGGAGGAGGGAGGAGGAGGGAGGAGAGAGATGATACTGATGATGATGATGATGATGATGATGATGATGATGATGATGATGATGATGATGATGATGATGATGATGATGATGAGGATGAGGATGATGAGGATGATGATGATGATGATGCTGATGCTGATGCTGATGCTGATGCTGATAATGATGATGATGCTGATGCTGATGCTGATGCTGATGCTGATGATGCTGATGATGATGCTGCTGATGATGATGAGGATGACGAGGATGATGAGGATGATGAGGATGATGCGGATCATGATGATGATGATGCTGATGATGTCGATGATGATGTTGATGACGATGGTAATGATCCTGACGATGATGATGGTCATGCTAATGACGATGATGATGATGATGCTTCTACTGACTATTATGATGATGATGTCGATGCTGCTGTTGATGATGATGCTAATTCTGATGATTCTGATGGTGGTGATGATGCTGATGATGCTGAGGATGATGATGAGGATGATGATGATGCTGATGATGATGCTGCTGATGATGATGCTGAGCTGATTGGACGATGATGGTGATTATGATGAGGTGGAGGGAACAGGGAGGAGGGAAGGTGATGATGATGCTGATGCTGACGTTTCTGGTGATGATGATCATCATCATCAGATGATCATCGTCTTGACGACGATGATGATCGAGATGATGATGACGACGCTGGTGATGACGATGATGACGACGATGATGATGCTGTGATGATGTTAATGCTGATGATGATGGCGATGCCGCCGCCGCCGCGCCCGCCGACGACAACGACGACGACGACGATGATGATGATGATGATGATGATGATGATGATGACGACGCCGGTGATGATGACGATGTCGACGACAACGACAACGACGAGGATGACGATGACGACGACGATGATGATGCTGATGAAAATGCTCATGATTATGACGACGATGATGATGATGATAATACTAATGCTGGTGCTGATGATGATGATCATGATGACGATGACAATGACGATGATGATAATGATGCTGAGCTGATGATGATGACTATGATGATCATGATCTTGATGATGATGATGATGAATGATGATGATGATGATGATGATGATGCTGATCATGATGCTGATGCTGATGCTGATGCTGCTGATGATGATGATGATGACGACGACGATGATGATGATGATGACGATGATGATGATGATGACGACGACGACGACGACGATGATGATGATGATGATGATGATGATGATGATGATGATGATGATGTGATGCTGATGATGCTGATGATGAGATGATGATGATGATGATGATGATGATGATGATGATGATGAGGAAGGAGGAGGAGGAGGAGGAGGAGGAGGAGGAGGAGATGGACGTGGACGAGGATGATAATGAAGAAAGGAGGGAGGAAGGAGAGGAGAAGAGCGCAGAGAGGAGGGGGAGGAGGAGGAGGAGGAGGAGGAGGAGGAGGAGGAGCGGCGCAGAGAACTGGGAAGGGTTTGCTTGTCTCCTGGGGGTTCCCCGGGGTCTCTTAGATGTGTCTGTTGTGTCTTTTAGGTACTTGTTGGGGGCTGGGGGGGTCCTTGAGGTTGGAAAGAGCGTGTTCTACCGATTGCTGGCGGAAAACGGGGGGGGTCACTACCGGTTCGAACCCCCCCCCCCCCCCCCCCTCCGGAAAACCGGGGGGGGTCACTACCGGTTCGAACCCCTCCCCCCCCCCCCCCAGCTCATCATGAAAAGGGGGGGGGTCACTACCGGTTCGAACCCCCCCCCCCCTCGAAAACCGAGTGGGGGTGCGGACAGTGGTGGGGACGGTGTTGGTGGGGACAGTGGTGAGGGGACAGCGGGACAGTGGTGGGGACAGTGGGGGGACAGTGGGACAGTGGTGGGGACGGTAGTGGTGGGGACAGTGGTGGGGACAATGGTGGGAACAGGGGGGACAGTGGACAGTGGTGGGAACGGTGGTGGTGGGGACAGTGGTGTGGGGACAGTGGGAATGAGGTGGAAACACTGGGACAGTGGAGGGTACAATGGTGGTGGGGACACTGGTAAAGGCGGTGGCGAGGACGGCGGTGGGACAATGGGACAGAGGTACAGTGGGGACAGTGGTGGGGACAGTGGGGACAGTGGTGGAAACAGTGGGACAGCTCAGTGGGACAGCGGAGGAGTCAGTGGGACAGTGGGGACAGTGGGGATAGGCAGTGGTTGGGTCCGTGGAGACAGTGGGGAGAGTGGAACCGTGGTGGGAACAGTTGTGGGAACAGTGGGGACAGTGCGACAGTGGTGGGGGCACTGGTGGGGACAATAGGGACGGTGGTGGAACCAGTGGGGACAGTGGTGGTGAGGACAGTGGTGCTGGGAACAACAGTGGGGGATGTGATGCGAGCGGTGGTAGGGACCGGGAGTCGTTTGCTGGCGGTGCGTGGGGGGGGGGGGGGGTCGAACCGGTAGTGACCCCCCTCCGGTTTTCGAGGGGGGGGGGGGGGTTCCAACCGGTAGTGACCCCCGCGGTTTTCGGATCCGGAGGGGGGGGGGGGGGAGGGGTTCGAACCGGTAGTGAACCCCCCCCGTTTTCGAGGGGGGGGGGGGGGGGGGGAGGGGTTAGGGGTTGGGGGGGTTTTTTGCCGGGAGGGAGGGGGGGGGTGGGGGGGGAGGGGTTCCGGCGGGGGGGGGGGATTTTCGGAGGGGGGAGGGGGGGGAGACCCCCGGGTTCCGGAGGAAAAGGTTGGCAATTTTCCACAGTAAAGCGGCGGTGGATCACGCTCTCTCTGAGGTTGGGAGGAGGATGACGATGACGACGCGGATGATGTCGATGATGACGTTGACGACGGCGATGACAAATACGATGATGACGATGATGAGGATTACGGTGATGACGACGAAGAAGATAATGAGGATCGGTCAGTGGATCCGCCCGGGTCGGATCGGCCGGATTGCCTCCTCAGGTCCGGCCTCCGCAAGAAGACGAAGGTCTTCATGGGGGAGACCAGGGAGGGCAGAATGACAGCGCAGCGGGCCCGCCAGTTTTCCGTTGTTTGCTGTGTTTGTTGACTTGTCGGTTCTGAAGACAACCTATTGTTGACCCTCCCCAGGTGCCAATCATTTTCCACTTGAAGTGCCCTCCGGTGCTCGCACCTGGTTTTTATGAGGGAAAGTATCGAGGCTGCAAAGTGGGTTGTTGGCCCCCGTTTTGCAACCCCAGAACGGTTCCCGCCTGAGACTCTTCGCGATTTTTTCAAAGTCGTGCTCTCGCGTGGCACAGTTCACAATTTACTGAGGAATCCCGTTTTCGCTTGGGCCGTCCTTGCAATTTATTCCGGCGCTGCGCCCTCGACGTCTAAGAATCGCGCTCTCGCGCGAGACGTCCTCATACTTCACTCAGGAATCGCCTGAGGCTTCTTCGCAACTTGCGAAGTTCGCTTCAACTGCCTCGCCCGCCTGTCAGGGCCCGCCTGTCCGACCCGCCCGTTCGACTCCGCCCGCCTGGCCCGCCCGTTCGGGTCCGCCCGCCCAGCCCGCCCGTTCGGGCCCAGCCCCTTCGCTTGCTTGGAAGCCCGCGGGCTCGCTTTAGTGCCCCGCCCTCCCGACCCGCCCCTCAGGGTCCGCCCGCCCGACTCGCCCTCTGGGTCCGCGGGCCCGACCCGGCCGTTAGGGTCCGCCTGCCAATCCTCCTGCTTCTTTTCCCTCCCCCTGCTGCTGAATCTTCTCTGTCCTCAATTATCCTGCTTCCCCCTTGCCTCCCTCCCCTCTCGTTTCCTCCTGCGTTCTTCGCTGTCCCCCTTTTTCCTTTCTGCCTTTTTCCTTCCTGCCTCCCCTTCCAGTTTGATGGGGCCGCGCAGCTACACGTGGCCGGCAGGAAAGATATACCCCCCCAGAGGAGGTGCGATCGAGGTTCCAGAGGGCGGGTATCGAGGGTTTGGGGATATGCATGTTGAGTAACGCGCGTGCAACGAAGAGCGAACAGTCTTAACATGATTGTTGTTTTGTTTCGTGGTTATCATTATTTTCATGCACACCAACATCATCACCATTACCATCAGCATCACAGTCATTATCTTTATCGTTTATGTCGTTGTGTTTGCTGCTGTTGCTGCTGTTGCTGCTGCTGTTGTTGTGTTGTAGTTTTTGCCGTTGCTGCTGCTGTTGTTGCTGCTGCTGTTGTTGCTGTTGGTGTTATTTTGTTGTTGCTGCTGCTGCTGTTGCTGTTGTTGTTGCTGTTGCTGCTATTGTTGTTGCTGTTGTTGCTGCTGTTGTTATGGTTATTATGATTTCTGCCTCTCTCTATCTCTCTTTGTTTCCGCAGCAGCCACCGATGATCGCCATTGCCTCTGCTCCGCCCCGTGCGCACAGCGGCGCAGGCGCGCAGGCGGCCTCGGGCCCAAGATGTACTTTTGGAGTGCGGCCTCAACGTGCCTCAGACTCCCAGTCTTAAGTCGGGCCTGTCCCTCTACAGGAGGCATATTAAAAAGTAATACAAACTAGTCTGGAGACGAATTGTTGTCTATCTTTTTGAGTAGCTCTGAGTGTTAGTTGAGTATCTCTTTGTTTTCGCACAAAGTCCGCCTGTAGGAGGACATGCCCGACCTAACCCCAGTCCTGTTAGCCGATCTGAGTTCGGCAGGCCCCGTGCAGAATCCGACTGGAAGTGAGTCACCAGAGGCAAAAGTAATACTACCACCAGCTAGGGGGTTGGCTGTCCCACCCTCTCGAGCTGGTGGCACCTCGTTCTCGGCATGCCTCCAGAGAGTTCCTGGAAGGAGGTGCCACCAGCTCGAGGGGAGGGAGCGGCCACCCCCCGAGCTGGTGGTGGTGGTGGTGGTATTTTTGTCGCTCCTGAGTGAGGAGGGGCGCAAGCACAGAGTTCAGGGCGTGGCGAACCGAAGCAGAAGCACGACGGGAGAGTTCAGTCTGCTGAAACTCTCGGCGCCTCGCGTGCCCCATGCCGTCTCGTCCAGAGCCTCTGGGGTCCCGAAGCCAGGTGCTGGCAGACCGTGCGGGTGAGGTCTTCGGGGATGCCGAGGTCGCCACACCGTCTGTTGCTACACCCTATGATGTTCCAACCTACTTCAGCCTTGCACCAAGAAAGTACCGAAACTGGAGGGTATTCACGTGTCGGGCCCTGGGAGGCGATACTCATTCGACACTGTTTCGATACTTTTCTGGGTGCTCGAAATTACTTCTGGGATGTGGTCCTTAGTACGTTGGGAGCAACCTCATACTACACCGTTCTCGGGCCCCCAAGTGGAACAAAGAGTTGGACTGCTCTCTCGACCGGAGGTGGGACCAGCCCGAGCAGCCCCCAACAGAGGCCAGCTTGGTCGCCGTTTTTTCTCTATTGTTTCGCCGATCGGCTCGCCCTCCCCCCCCACGTAGACCAGATCTTGGCTGCTTTGGGCGACTGCTTGTGGCGACTGTCATGACCCCTTCTCTCCAGTCTGCTTGCGCGACTGGCAAAAGCAAATCGACTGAGCACCGGCCCAGACCCAGACCCGCCCCCGTTCCCGCATTCTTCGGCCACAGGTCGAAACCCAGAATAGGAAAGCGCCTGCTTGGGGTCCCGTCGAGGGTCTCCTGGGAGCCTCTTGGGGCGTTCTGGGGGCTTCCCTGGGGCTGCATTTGTCAGATTATCAAAGTTCTCAGCGAGCAGGATCAGCTCAGCGGCAGTCAAGAAGTTGCACGCCGAAGGGGCGGCCTAATCGTAAGGGTTGCCTGCCGTCCCAACGCACGAACAGCGCTGATGTTTCGATCGAACGGCGCGGATTCTGTGTGGCACAGACGGCGCGCGCCAATCGTTTGAACAGCGTAGCGTTTTCTGGGTGAAGTTGCTGCTGTCGTCTGGCTGCATGGGGACAACATTCTGGCACAAGCCATTTTTGGCGCATGGCCGCACTGATCTTTAGGCCATCCTCTGGGCTGCATGGGCCGCAGCAGGCTCGCTGATTCCATTCTGCCTCCTGTCCTGGTCGGGTGATGCCGGAGACCACGCTGGGCCAGGGTGACCCCAGCTTCTCTCAGGAGGCCCAGATGTCGTCGCGCCGTTTGTTCCGACGCGCAGCCTTCCGATCTGGGGAGGGCGCCGCGTCCACCATGGCAACCGCCGCCTCGGACGCGGTGGGTTCGCCGTGGATTTGCCACGGTGCTGGCGTCGTCCGCTTTGGGCACGGGACGCAGAATTTGCCGTGGGTTTGCTGTGGTGTCGGCGTCGTCCACTTGGGCGCGTCAAAAACAAACGGCGCGGCGACTAATGTCCTCCAGAGTACCCGTCAAGAGGCCCAGGAGGGCCTCCGTGTCGCAGGCGATTTTGTCTCCCATTTTTCATCGAAAAATGAAACCGCTCAGAAAAGAAGGGAAGCCCTGGCATACACCGCCAGGGGCCTATTCGGACGCACCGCCATCGAGTATGGAAGCCCCCGTATTCTACATCCCAGGGTTGAGCCCCATCCATTCGAGAACCCCACGACGCCTGGGATAGGGGTCGACATATCGTCTGTTACCGTGGATCCCAATGCGGAACGAGAGGCTGCGTGCACACTGGGCCAAGACCTCCTTTGGCAGCTCCGATTCGAAGGGGCTCAGACGTCCGATGTTATGTCGCTCCAGTCTTCGGCCCCCCTGTCGCAGGCGATTTCTCCCCCCCAATCACCGAGTTCCGCCCGAGAGGTTTGGCCGTTCAGAGAAAGGGGGGAACCCTGTGGAACATCCCAAAGGGGCTACTCGGACCCCCCCTCGAGGATGGGCGCCCTCCACCGTGTATCCCAGGGCTGGGCCCAAAACTTCGGGGCAGTTGGAGAGTCCCACGACGCCTGGGCGAGGGGGTCGACGTCTCCCCCGCTGCCCGGCAGCCCCGACCCTCCCTGAGGTCCTGGCGCGTCCCACCTTTTTCGAGGCGGGCGGTCTCGCTCGGTCTCGGGCCCCCGGGGGGCCCTCACGGATGGACCTGGCTCGAGAACCGGGGCAGGCAGGCGGGGCCCATGCCGATTCCTCCGATGCGATTCGATTCGATGATTCGGTGGCTTGCGATTCCGATTCGGTTCGACTTCGGATTCCGATTTGGGCTCCGATTTTTAATGGAGGCCTACTGGACTGCCGATTTCCGCCGATTCGACTTTTCCCGATTCGGCTGCCGGTTTTCCGCCGATCCGATTGATTTCGATCGCCGATCCGACTTATCGATTCGATTCTGGGTTTTCCTGGGAAGATGGGGTCCCGGGCTTTGGTTGTGATTTCTCACGATGCTTCAGCTGCACACAAACTCAGACACACTCACACTCAGACTCACTCCAATACGAGGTCCCCGGAAGTTTCGACCTGTTCCCCAGGGCCAGCTTCTCATCCCCAGTCGTTTTTCTGACAGCCCCGGGGCCCGGCGATGGCCCCCAGAGGCCGAACGCTGCGAGAGATCTCCGTCCTGTTGGCCTCGAGGCGTTGGACAGCTGGGGAGATGGACTGGATCAGGCGGGCGCAGCGGGGGCTGTGCTGGGGGTGCGGTGGGCGCGATTGGAGCCGTAGCGGCCCTCGCCGACAGCCCCAGGCCCTCGCGCGCTGGCTGACCCGAGGTGTTTTTTCCAGTTGTTCCCACTCGCCAGGCTGGGGTTGTTACACTTCGAGGGAAGAGCTCCCGATTGGGCCTCGCTCGCACACCCTGCGTATCGCGGTCGCCAGGCCCCAAGGATTCTGGTGGTCCATGCGGATCGCGCCTCACGTCTTCGACGAACGAAGACTGCATGCCGCGGCCGCCAGGCCCCAAGGGGCCTGGTGCTCCCTGGGGATCCCGCCTCGTGTTCTCGGTTGGGATCACTCGATGCGGTGCAATGTTCTTTGTTTGTTTTTTCCTGGCCATCCTGTGGTGCTGGGTCCTCGTTTTGAAGACACAGCGCCCCGCGTCCGTAGGGAGCTCCATCCAAGGTCCCATGGGGGCGGGGACTACACAGGTCCCCGAGCCCACTTTGGCACACCCCTCACACACTTCGTGCCCCCACAGGGAGCTCCAACTCAGGCCCCTGGGGGGGAGGGTACGCATGCGGAGGAGGAGGAGGAGGAGGAGGAGGAGAGGAGGAGGAGGAGGAGGAGGAGGAGGAGGAGGAGGAGGAGGAGGAGGAGGAGTTTGAGGAGGAGGAGGAGGAGGGGAGGGAGGAGGAGGAGGAGGAGGGAGGAGGAGGAGGAGGAGAGGTGAGGAGGAGGAGGAGGAGGAGGAGAGGAGGAGGAGGAGGAGGAGGAGGAGGAGGAGGAGGAGGAGGAGGAGAGGAGGAGCTGGAGGAGGAGGAGGAGGGGGGGGGGAGGAGGAGGAGGAGGAGGAGGAGGAGGAGGAGGAGGAGGAGGAGGAGGAGGAGGAGGAGGAGGAGGAGGAGGAGGAGGAGGAGGAAGAGGAGGAGGAGGAGTCCCCGAACCTGTTTCGGCACACCCCTCACATCTTCCGTGGCCCTGCAGGGAGCCCCACTGAGGGCCCCAGCGGCGCTGCGTTCGCACGGCGGCACCGCACCCATGTCGGCACACACCCTTCACAGCGTTTCGTGGACCTAGCGGGAGCTCCGCCGAAGATCCCCCAGCGGCTGCGTTCGCATGGCGGCACTGCCACCCATTTTGGCACGACTCACCTATTTCGTGGCCCCCGAATGGGCTCCACCGAAGAGGATACAGTACCCACAACCGTGTCACTCACGACTGCATATGGTTGGGTTCTCCGCCCAGGTTTTTGTTTCTTTGTTTGTTTTGTTTTGGGCCGCGCTTGCCGAGGGTTCTTTGAGGTCTCGGGACGTCTTGGGGCGTCTCCGGTGGTTCTTCGAGGGTCTCTCGCAGGCTTCCCCTGCGGTTCCCGCAGATTTGCTTCTGGGAGTTTTCGGGTGTCTCCCAGCGGTCTTCGGACGTTTCCGGGGACCCTGGGCGCTTCCAGGATGTCTTCGGCGGTTTACGGCGTTTTATCAAATGTTTCTGTGGATTTCGGCGGATCCCAGTGGTTTTGGTAGAATTTCGGAACAGCTCTCGCAGGTTTCGTGGCCCCACGAGGAGCTCCACCGAAGGCCCCAGGTGGCAGCGCTCCCTTATGCGTGCCCAGGTCCGTTTCCCCTGACGCTCCGTAGCCCGATAGGGAGCTTCGCCGAAGGCCTCAGTGGCAGCTCCCGCATGCCTGCCCGGGCCTAGCAGGGAGCTCCACCGAAAGCCCCAGTGGCAGCGGCCGCGTGCGTTCTCTCCCGCATGCTGGCACGCCCATCGTGCGCCTCGTGGCCCCATACGGAGCTCAATAGAATTCCTCAGTGACAGCGCCCGCATGAGTGCCCATTTCGGCACACCCCTGCCTGACACGTTCCGTGCCCCCACCAGGAGCTCCATGGCCCCAGTGGCAGCGCCCGCATGCGTGCCGTAGTGCATGTTGGCACACCCCCGACACGTTTCGTGGCCCCATGAGGAGCTTTACCGAAGGCCCCAGCGGCAGAGCCCGCATGTGTGCACAGGTCCATGTTGGCACACCCTCACACGTTCCGCGGTCCCAGAGGGAGCTCTCCCTTCTTCGCCCCACCAGCCTTGCGATATCCATGCCTGCGTATTGATGATTCCATCGTCAGGATGAACGTTTCCGATGTTTCCAGCGGTTCTCGAGAGCACGTTTCAGAGGGCACATTTCAGAGGTTCTCGGAACTCGCTCGTCCCGAATAAACAAACCTGGCCAAAAGCGAAAGCCGTCAGGAACCTCACAAGAACCTTTGGAAACCACCAAAAAAACATGAGGGACACGTCGAAGGAGTTCGAATCCATACTCGGGCCTCCTAAAACCTGAGAACAGCCGCCGGATGCATCCTAAAGCCGCCAAAGACCATAGGATGTTATTTGGCCAGCCACGAAAATGCTCGGGAATCTCCGAGAGCCTTAGACACCGCCGAAAGTCTTCCCGACACCGTCCGAAAGCCTTCCAGGACCTCAGAACGCCTTCGAAGTCATCCAGACCCCTCCGAAACCGCCGAAGACGTCGCAAGACCCCCTGAGCCGCAGAACATCTTTTCTGTCGCCGCAGACCCGAGGAGAACTACCTGGCCAACTACGTGCAGAGCGTCTTCAACACGCTGAAGGACACCGCCGCAGCGCCGAGCCTGCCCTCCCCGTCTACGTGGGGTTGCCAGGGGTGGCCTTGGCCGAAGCTGCCTCCGGTTTCCCCTAAGGGTCCTCGGGGCGTCGTGAAGGGTACGGCAGGCTCGCGTTGTGTCGACTCGCCGCGAGCGTTCCAGGTTGAGCGTCGCCAGTGGCCCAGGGTCGGCCAGCACGGAACGACCTGGCGATCGGAAAGCCGCCGATCGTTCAAGGTTGAGCAATCGACGTGGTGTCAGGAGCCAGCGCAGGTGGGCACGACACGAACCTGCCGTACTTCGGAGGCCATGGGGGCCTCCTCCGAAGTTCTGAGGACAACTTGGGCCAGTGACACCTGTGGCAGGAATCGACCGCGACTGGCTGGCTGCCATGGCGGGAGGATGGAGGATGGGGACGGAGAGAGGATGGGGAGGGAGTGAGGTGGGGGGGGAGGAGAAAAAGGAGGGAGTATGAGGAGGGGGATGGAGGAGGAGGAGGAGGAGTAAGAGGAGGAGGATGAGGAGGAGGAGGAGGAAGAAGAAGACGAATCATAATATTAAGAAGAAGCTGAATAAGCATATTAGTAAACATTAATAAGAATAATAAACAGAAGACGAATACTATTATGACGACAACAACTAATAACATTAGTAACATTATTATTATTATTATTATTATCATTATTATTATTAGTAGTAGTAGTAGTAGTAGTAGTAGTAGTAGTAGTAGTAGCAGCAGCAGCAGCAGCAGCAGCAGCAGCAGCAGCAGCAGCAGTAGTAGTAGTAGTAGTAGTAGTAGTAGTAGTAGTACTAGTAGTAGTAGTAGTAGTAGTAGTAGTAGTAGTAGTAGTAGTAGTAGTAGTAGTAGTAGTAGTAGTAGTAGTAGTAGTAGTAGTAGTAGTAGTAGTAGTAGTAGTAGTAGTAGTAGTAGTAGTAGTAGTAGTAGTAGTAGTAGTAGTAGTAGTAGTAGTAGTAGTAGTAGTAGTAGTAGTAGTAGTAGTAGTAGTAGTAGTAACACTACTAATACTCATAATACTAACAATAATTATAATGATACTACTTATTAATGAGAATACTAGTACTACTACTAATAATAATCGTAATCATACTAAGAAGAAGACGAAAAGGATGATGAGGAGGAGGAGCAGGAGGAGGAGGAGGAGGACGAGGACGAGGACGAGGAGGACAAGGGAGGAGGAGGAGGGGATGAGGAGGGAGGGTGGGAGGGCGGGCGGGAGGGAGGGCGGAGGGAGGGAGGGAGGGAGGGGAGGGAGGGAGGGAGTGAGGGAGAGAGGGAGGGAGGTAAGGAGGGAGGGAGGGAGGAGGAGGAAGAGGAGGAGGAGGAGGAGAAGGAGGAGGAGAGGAGGCGGGGGAGGAGGAGGGGGAGGGGGAGGAGGAGGAGAGAGGAGGAGGAGGAGGAGGGAAAGAGGAGGAGGAGGAGGAGGAGGAGGAGGAGGAGGAGGAGGAGACAGAGGAGGAGGAGGAGAGGCGGAGGAGGGGGAGGAGGGTGAGAGGAGAAGGAGGGCAGCAGGTGGAGGAGGAGGAGGAGGAGGAGGAGGAGAGGAGGAGAGGAGGGAGGAGGAGGAGGAGGAGGGAGGAGGAGGAGGGTGGAGGTGGAGAGGAGGAGGAGGAGGAGGAGCTACAGGATGACCTAAGGTTGGTCTAACGTAGAAAGGTGGAGGAGGAGGAGGAGGAGGAGGAGGAGGAGGAGGAGGAGGGGGAGGAGGAGGAGGGGGAGAAGGAGCAGGCGGAGGAGGAGGCGGAGAAGGAGGCGGAGGAGAAGAAGGAGGAGGCCCCCTCGACGGCTCGGTGGCCCTCCCGCGGCCCCGGGTCTGGGCAGCCCGCCCCCCCCCGCCCTCCGCCCCGCCGCCCTCCGGCACCCAGGAGATGGGCGTCCCGGTCGAGGGCGGCACCCTGGTCGTCAGCGGCGACGGACGTTACTGGAATTCCGAGGCGGCTGCGGCCGAGCATGTGCAAACCGTGCCCGTCTCGATGTCTTCGATCTGGTGGATACGTGGGGTCTGGACGCTCTGGAGGCGGGGCAGTGGCGCCGAGCCGAGGCCTCCCGAAGCCCCAGGAGCCCCGAGGCGGGCTGGCTTTTCATCCTGGGCAGCGTTTTGATGGTCCCAGCCGCGGGCGAAGAACATGTCCGTATCCGCGGCCTCATGGACCCGGCCCCTGGGCCGCGGCCCCGCGGATGCGGGGCGTTTTGTCGCGGCTTCCCCAAATCAGACCGCGAGGGCGCGGATGCGGACATTTTCGCCGCTCGTGAGGACACGCGCGCCGCTGGGCGCCTCGTCGTCGTCGTCGTCGTCGTCGTCGTCGTCGTCGCCGTCGTCGAGGGCCGAGGGTCGAGGGTCGAGCCGTGGCGGCGAGGAGCCCCCCTGGAGGCCCACAGAGGGGCGGAGGGCGCCCGAGAACCTCGAGCCTCGAGCCTCGGGCCTCGACAGGCCATCCAGATCATCATCAGGATGGCGTTCGCCAACGGCGTCGGCCGCGTGTGGTGCGGCACTGGCGGGCTGCTGTCGACGCCAGCGACGTCGGCGGTGATCAGGTGGGCCCCCCCTCGGCCACGGCAGAGGGGGCAGGAGGGGGGGGATGGCAGGATGGGGGGCGGGTGGAAGGTTACGATGGTGGTGTTGTTGATGGCGGCGGCGACGATGACAAAGGCGATGACGACGACGACGACGACGATGACGATAATCATGCTGATGAAGAAGACGACGACGTCGACGATGCAGCTGCTGCTGCTGATGATGATGCTGATGATGCTGCTGATGATGATTGGGCTGCTGCTGCTGATGATGATCATGATGATGATGATGATGATGATGATGATGATGATGATGATGATGATGATGATGATGATGATGATGATGATGCTGATGATGATGATGATGATGATGATGACGATGACGATGATGATGCTGATGATAATGCTGATGAAGATGATAAGGATGTGGACGTGGATTAGTATGAGGATGGTAATGCCAATGTTGATAATAGTGGTGACGATAATTGCGATGATAGCGTTGGTGGTGCTGAGGGTGTTGACGGATATGAGGCTGATGGTGATGTTAGCGACGACGATGACGACGAGGAAGAGGAGGAGGAGGAGGAGGAGGAGGAGGAGGATGAAGAGATGTAGGATTATGGTGATGATTATGATGCTGCTGGTTATGATTGATGATGATGCTGCTGATGATGTTGCTTATCATGAAGATGATGACGATGATGACGATGATGATGATGCAGCTGCTCATGATGATGATGATGCTGATGGTGACGATGGCGATGCTGCTGATGGTGATGATGATGATGACGACGAGTATGCTGAGTATGATAATGCTGATGTCGTTGCTGCTGTTGCTGTTGAGTATGCTGCTATTGATGATGATCATGATGTTGTTGTTGATGTCGATAATGATCTTGCTTCTCCTGCTGCTGCTGATAAGGATGATGATGAGGATCCAGATGATGGTGTTGTTGCTGCTGCTGTTGTTGATGATGAGGATGGCGATGAGGAGTATGATGCTGCTGATTCGGATGATGATGCTGCTGCTTCTGATGATGCTGATGCTGCTGATGATGATGTTGATACTGATGCTGATGCTGTCGACGATGATGATGCTGATGATGGTGATGGGTAGGATGAAGGAGGAAGGGGAGGCTCGCCGTGGCCAGGACTCCCTCTCCGTTTCTCGTTTCGCGTTCGCCATGGTAGCACGATAGTTGCAAGAGGTGAGCCTGCATCAGCGTTCGATCCTCAGGGAGCCCCCCAGGGACTCACAAACGGGGCCAGATCAGATGGGATCGGATGATCGCTTCGCATCGCCGATTCATCTGCGATGCGGGGCGGTCTGGATCCCGATGTTCTCCACGCCGCTGGCGCCGATGCATCGCCAACGTCGCCGATATACCGGCGATGCTGAGCGATCCTCCAGCCCCATCTGCTCGGACCCCAGTTGGGAGGGGTGTAAGGAGGTGTAAGGAGGCTGATCTATATACAGCTGGCACGAGGGTGAGGAATAATCCTAGCTCTGGAGGGGTACCCTTTTATTTTCGTGTCTGAGCTCTCCACCGTGAAACGCTCTTCGTCTAGAACACATCCATGGGACCTTGGGCCTTCGGCTAAGGGGCGGACACACGTTCTTGTAGACATGTGTGAAAGACCGTCTTCTGAGTACGCTGGGAGGAAGTCAGGGGGGAAAGGCGGGGAGGTACGAACCGCCCCCGCCCCCCCCTCGAAAGTCAGGGGGGATTCTTGCCGGGGAGGGGGGCGTGGTTCCAGTTCCAGAGAGGAAAGAGGGGATCCTTGCGGGGGAGGGCGCTTCCAGAGCGGGGGATGTTTTGGGGCTCGGTGCCATTGGGTCGCACAGCCATCGTGCTGCCAGGAGGAACGCTACAGGAGGAGAACGAAGGGGGCCTTCCTGGCCACGGCGGGCACCAGCCACGAGTGGGCTCCACGGCCCAGGTCCGGGGAGGGGCCCGACAGGCAGAGCCCCTGAGAGCCCAGAGTGGCCCTTTTGTGCACAGGCGGCCTCACTGTGCACAGGAGACGCCCTCGCACACGCGTCGCCCCGTGGCGGACCTCGGCCTGTGCGCACCGCGCGCTGGACCACCGTGTTGGGACAGTCCAGCCCGCGCCCCTTTTTCTGCCTGCCAGCCCTCGTTCGAGTCGGATGCTGCGTCCTGGCCTGTTCCCTGTTCCTGGCTGCTCGACTCCTGGAGAGACTCCCGGGCCACACGCCGTGCGGAGACCGCCGCCCGGGCCCTCCGCCGTCGACAGCCTCTGGGGCTCCAGGGCCCCAGGGAGCCTCCAGGGCCTGTTGCTCCCACCCTGAGGCCGGACGTTGCGAAAAAAATGCAGCCTCGCGAAAGCTCACGGCCCGAGCCCCGGAGCCCATCTGTATGGGCCCCGGGGCCCGACGTCGGGCGAAGGCGCCCGGTTCGGCAGAAGCGAGACGCCAGGATCTCTCGGGCCTGTGCCCCCCGCAGAGAGCTTCCGAGGCCACCCGCCGTGAGGAGGCCGCCCGCCAGGGGTGGGCCAAGGGGCAGCGATAGGATTCAATCGGGCATGTCCCTCTACAGGGGGAGTATGAAAAAGTACTCAACAAGAATTGTCGGGGGACTGTTTTGTAAGAATCTCGGGGCACTTCTGGAGTATTTTGTGACAATTGTTTGTTTTTGTCCAAAATCTGCCTGTGAGGGGATCGATGGGAGGGGATTTGTCCAAAATCTGCCTGTTTTTGTCCAAAATCTGCCTGTGATTGTTGTTTTTTGTTTTTGTCCAACTATTTTTTGTTTTTGTCCAAAATTTGCCCGACCTAACGATGGGAGGGGATCGCCCCACTCCGCCCAGGGACATGCGGACCCGCCATCGGGGGCCTGGCGCCGACCTGTCGGCGATGCGTCGCCGAGTCCAGCCGACTGCACGCAAGAGCGACCCTTCTGCCAGAGTGACCTTTGGTGCGGGCCGACTGTTAGGTCAGGCATGCCTTCCTACAGCCGCACTTGGGAGGAAAAATGACAATTATCCGAAAAGTATTCCACAATAGTCAAAAATAATAGAAAAAAATTGTCCCCAGACTATGTTTTGACTATTTTTGAATGTTCCTCCTGTAGAGGGACGTGCCCGACTTGAGCCCACTGGGTCCCGTCGACCGCTGAGAGCGGTGGGCCAGCAGTTTGTGCCGCTCGGGTCCGGCCCTCCCCACGCCCTCCTTGAAGCCGCGCACCACAGGTCACTCTTGCCCAGGGTCGCTCTCCTTGCGCAGGGGGTCGACTACATCATCGATTTACCCCAAAATTTGCTTGCTCGTCGAACCTGCGAGAATGACGTAGAATTGTTCTGGAGATCGTCGAACAGTCAACGTATTATTCATACGTTCGACGAGACAACCCATCTGGGGGTAGATCAGTTCTGTGGTCGACCCCCGCAGCCGACCCTTGCACGCAGCCGAGCCAGCCCCCCCCCCCGCTATCGTTGCCCCTCGTGGGCAGAGGCCCGCCCGGCCCTGCGCGGAGGGCGGCCCCTCCCCGATCGAGGGGCGGCCCCCCCCCTTCGGAGCTCGGCCTCGGCGGCGGCGCGGCGGGGCTCGTCGAGGCTCCCTCCCGGAGAGTCTCGTCGGCCAGGCCGCGCCAGGCCCCCTGGGATGCTCGTGCCGGGGGCCTTCCTGGGGCCCACCTGGCGGGCCAGGTCTGTTCCATCCTGTCTTCCTCCTCCTCCTCGTCCTCCTCCTCCTCCTCGTCCTCCTCCTCCTCCTCTTCCTCCTCCTCCAGGGCTCGCAGAATGTCGCCTTTCCATGGGGCCCTTTCCGCCGTGAACATGTCCCCAATGGCCCATGAGGAGGGAGGTTTGAGGGAGGGTCTAATGCAACATCGTTGATGCATCTTGGGCTTTCACTGATTCCCCTCCTCCTCCTCTTCCTCCTCCTCCTCTTCCTCCTCCTCCTCGTCCTCCTCCTCCTCCTCCTCCTCTTCCTCTTCCTCCTCCCTCTCCCCTCGTCCTCCATCCGTCGGGGACCTTTCGGTAATTATCGTCTTGGGGACGGATCTGTTCGACAGTTCGACTCGAGTTAAACGCTAGCTCCACTCGAGGGCGACTCAAGTTCGACTCACGTTCGACGCAGCGTCGACGCACGCGTGGAGCGAATGTCTCCATGAAGTTCCCCCACCTGCCCGCTGGGCGCTTGGGCCGGACGGGGCCCCGACATCCTCGCGCCGTGAAGCGATAACACGACGGAAGATTCTGCGCTGCCCTTGGCCTCCCGGGGACCTCGCCCCGAGATCCTGGCGCCTCGCTGCCTCGAGCCAGGCGTCTTGTCGCCCGGCGTCGGGCCCCAAGGCTGCTCACAGATCGACCAGGTTCGAGGAGTGGTGCAGAGAGGTGGTGTCCTGGGCTCGGGTCGTGCTGCTTGCGTTTTGTTTGCTGTTTTCTCGAGACGTCGGATCTCAGGGTACGGGCAGGACCTTTGGCTTAGCATGTCGCTGCGTCGGTTCTGGTCCACCACCCTTCGGCGCGACACGCTGTCCACGTTCCCACTCCCAAGCGTCAACGTCCCGAGCTTTTCCCAGCCTCCCAGCCCGCGGAGCGGAGCGACACGCTATCCGCTTGCAAGGCATATCGTGTCGCCGGGGCCGCCGCCGCGACACGGTATGCAACACGTTTCTGACCGTAGCGGGCCGGGCCCCGAGTCCCGTGAAAAGTTGTTCGGGATGAACAAGTTGTCCTCGGGAAGGGGTCCAGACTTCTGGGGAGCTGCGATGTGGAGGGA